TAAAAGAACATTAGAATAATCTTAAAGTAGATCCATAACTGATGATTGCAAACTGCAAGTCATCTCTTGAAGAAAGCATAATTAACCTGAAGAAGCTGCATGGCAATATAGAAAAAATATTACGTGAATATACACAAGTAAAGATATATTTTATACCGGTTATGGGAGGATGAAGTTCGTGGCTATTTTAGGCAAGTCTTTCGGTAGTTATTCAGTCTAAAGTCAACTGTTAATTTTATTTCTGTGAAAGTGAACAGTTTGAGAAACACGTCCGTACTTAATCAAACTTACCAACTATAATGAGTATAGTAATTTAAAAAAAAAAGAGATACTCAACTCGGATAGAAAAATCTTTAAAGCAGAGCCCCATAAACGTTGGTTAGATTATTGTATATACGGGATTGAATGCAATTACATTATTACTTCAAGTGCTGTTTATTTATCAGAACTGGGATCAACACAAACAGGGTTGCTATTATTTATCATCACTAAATCCTGATCTTTGAAAAATTGTTCAAGTGCTAATCAATTAAAATCAATGCAAGATGATCTCCAAAGAGAATTAAAATCTCCAAAAAGTATGAGAGATGAAGAAATGTAAAATGTCAAATATGAAAAGGATAATAAAATAGTTGTAAACATTGAGAAGTTTAACAACATTTGAGCTCTCAACAAACATTGATAACTGTGGATTTCAGAGGAGGATATTTCTGCAATTCGATTGCAGAGAAAGAAACACCTTTTCTAGTAATGCAACATATGCCATCATGTTCTCTCAATGGTCTGTCATTAAGGCAAATGACATAGTCTAAGAAGTGGTAAGTAGACAGGAATCTGAGCAAAAATTAACCAATACAAATATCATGAGTAGACTTGATATTAACGTAACTTTGGCATCATGTACAAGAAGGTTTTTAGCATTCCAGTATAAAAAGTCAAGAGGTTGTGCCATCCCTAATTTGAAGAAATAAACGTAGACTTCCAGAAGCCAGGTAAGTGAAATATTTTCTAGCTTCCTAGGATATAATTTTGATGCACTCAGAATGTTTTGTGGCTTGAGCCGTTCATTAATATCAGCTTCAACAATAAATACTACAAAGTCTGGCTTTGAATTAAGATCCCTGATGGAGATAACGGTTTTTTTAGTACTTTCATCTTCAAAATTGCAAGCAACACCGACAAATGTCAAAATCAGGCTAAAGGCATATGTTATCTATAAGGCTAGAAGATGAACTTGACAAGTTCTGAGACAGAAAATTGGCACACGTGTCTTCAAAATTATTGCCAGTGGAGACAATTTGTTAAAATTAAGTGATACTGTGTTCTGCTATAGTGTAATCCAATTCTTGGCCTATGTATCATATTCAACATTGCAGGTTATACATTGGTCAGATTTTACAATATTACAATATAGTTCAAATTAGAATGTGGTCTTCTGCAAATAAGACGTCATTATTTGCTCCTGCATTGAGAAGTGATATATCTAAATATTTAGCACTTATTACATAGGATTAGGAACAAATGGTCTAACAGAAAATTATTTTGAATCCATCTATGTCAGATGTGGGGGAATTGTTCCTTCAAAAGTAGCAACAATGCTCGATGTATCGAAGGTTTCTCCCTCGAATTGATGGGTGAGGTGTTTTATTGCAAAATGTTATGGCCTCGACAAGACAGTCCCTCTTGAAACTCATTCATTGGAATATTTGGCAAGGCATCAGGAATCACTCCATATGTTCTGTAAAAGAATGAGGGTAATTGGTTTTGACATTCCAGTTACTAACCTGGGTTGTTGTCGGTAGGATGAAGAAAAAATTTAAACAGAATTTGTTGACTGGTCTAAGGGGACAAGAATTGATACATGATTTGTTTACTAACATGAGGAGACAAGAAGTAACACAGAATTTTTTCTTAATTCAAGCAAGTGAGTATGTTTTAAAAAAACCTTTTTAAATACGCTGCATTTTATTAATGTACCTAAAGCATCATCAGGGACTAGCTTTGAATAGAATCGTGTTACCTTGGAAGAATACTCATTTTGTTACATAAGCTGAGATTTAAATAATTTTTTTTTTCAGTGAGAAAAATCTGTTGAGAAAAACAAACAGTTTGTACCTACATGAGAAAGTTTTTATGATCCTTGTTCTTTGTTTGTTTTTGTTGTTTATGATCGTGTAAGGAATTCCAAAGAAGTTAATTTCCTGAGTATGTATCCTTACCAAAAGCGAATGTGAAATTCAATGTTTCTTATTTCTACTAACACATTTGAAAATGAAAGCTTACCCTCACTTCATTTTTGACCGTGAATGAGGGGCTGGATAACGTTCAAATTTAAAAGAAACTTATCAGTATAATTTGAGTCTTTAAAAACTGTATAAATGTCACTCACATAACGATCCAGGAAACTGGAGGATGTAGAAAAGTGGAAATAGCAATTTCCACTATCTTGATCATAAATGTATTAGGTAACACAGGCGAAACTGGATTTTTCTTTTTTCTAGTCTCATTTTTATTTCTTTATTTAGAAGCTGTCTTAGACCAACAGCAATGTTAAAACATATTTCTAAAAATTCCATTTCACTTGTAGCTAACAGTTGGTTAGAGGATTAAATGCTACTTTTTTACCATTGGAATCCAATTTCTTGCTGTTTTCCTCATTTTTTGTTTGCGGTTTTTCATCAAAGACTTTTGGGTTATAAATTGGTCGGAATATTTTTGACTAAAGTCTTTTTCCATGTTAATAACATGTTTATAAATTAGTCTATGTTTGGTATCTTTCTTTGTTCAAAGATGACTCTAATTACAAGTTAAACGAGTGAGAGTTCGGTTAAGATTAGAAGTAAGTCTATACTTTTTCAAGTATATGCTCTCGAAGTGTCCCCTGGTGGGACAGCGGTAATTCTTAGAATTTACAACGCTAAAATCAGGGATTCGATTTCCCTCGGTGTAGCAGCAGAGAGAGATCGATGTGGCTTTGCTATAAGAAAACACACATACACTCTCGAAGAAGTTTATATTGCACAGTTCTAATAATATTCAACGAATGATAGTTAATTTAAATTTTAAAGATTTAGAAATTAAGTTATAGTTCCGAATTTAAAAAAAAATAAACGGGTGTGTAAGTTTTGTCAGTGTTTTAGCTAATATATTTTTGACCAACATAAAACAAATTGATGTTTCCACTTCCTTACATCCTCTACGTTTTTGGATTCGTTTTGTAGATGAAACTTATACAGATTTTAAATATTAAAATTTTATTTATGACTAAGTTATCACATCTAGGTCTTGCAAGTAAACAAGTGAAATTGCTTCATTTTTACAGATGTCACTATAAAACATAACCTGAACTTATGCTGCTAGGGATAACACAGTAACGTGATGCAACAGGTAATACGTCTAGAATAACATAAGTTTTGGAATCTAAAGTGTGCTTAAAAACAGGTCATTTCTTTCACCCAAATACATTACAGACACATTCAGATTTGCAAATGTTGCAGCGGGTGGATCACCCCTGGATTGTCCTGTTTTGCAGGATCCTCCATTATAACACAATTGCTTATGCTCGTTTGTACAAAAATGAAATTAAAAATAACTATGGAGAAATTCTAGTGACGCCTCTGAAATTTACATGAATCGTAAAATATATAATAGGTCAAAGCACATTTCTATTCGTCCTCAGTAGATCATAAGAGATACATTATATCAGAATGTTTAGCGTAAGAAAAATTAAATTATTGAAATGAAGACTTCAGATACCCTTTTGCATGACAACAGAGGACATACAAATAAATAAATAGGTAACCACACTCTGATGGCTGATGTAACTAGAATTGACATAGAATTTTGATCATTAGGTTGACAAGAACTTACCTAAGTTCAGGACAAGACTCCAACAACAGCTTCACACAATCCAAGCATCCCTTAGCTGCTGCAAAGTGCAGAGCTAGAGCATTGTTATAGGTCTTCTCTAAGGCCGGCATCTTGGCTTCCCGCAATAGCCACTTAATAACATTACGGTTGCCGTACCTTTAAAAAAAAATGAAACAAAATAAACACAAATAATAAGTTAGTCAAACATGAAATAAATTATAATAAAAAAAGCATTAATTTATGGTAATACGAATTACCAATATGCATATATTGCAAATACTACAAGAATAAATGTTTTGGTAAGAGGAGGCTTGGCATGGCCTGGTGGTTAAGGGGCTCGACTCGCAACCTGCTGGTCACGAGTTCGAATTCCCGTCACACCGAACATGTTCGTCCTTTCAGCCGTGGGGTCGTTCGTTATAATATTACGGTCAATCCCACTATTCGTTGTTACAAGAGTAGCCCAAGAGTTGACAGTAGGTGGTGTTGACTAGTTGCCTTCCCTCAAGTTCTATCACTGCTAAATTAGGGGCGGTTAGCACAGATAGCGAAATACAAACCAAATCTAGGTAAGACGATAAAACCCTCTTTCTGATTATTAGAAAAAAAAACATTATTTAACAGAAACAACACTTGTCACCACTTATATTTACAGTTGTTACGATTTGTACTAATGGTTTTATTCTTCAATCTGGCAGGGATGCTATTGACTAGCTGCCTTCTTTCTAGTCTGTTAGCTCAAAATTAGGGACGACTATGCGCAGACAACCCTTAGTGCAACTATTCGAGAAAATTCTGACAAAAACAAACAATTTTAACCATATTTCAGCTGCTTGTTTGGAAGTGTTACTGAATAATTTACATATGACCTTCTTGGTATTCAATCTATGATTTACATGCCAGTATTTTGTGGATAGAAAACGAGCACATAAATACCTTAATCCACTCTCCAGATTATGTAATGTTTTATCAACTACATAATACATGTAAATACCACGTAGTCTAATATAGAAGTATTAGGAACAACAGCAAAATTACTTTTACTGTAACAGTACAGCAACTGTCTGAGTTGCTGTGCTTCCCACACTTGTGCCATCTTATAGACTAATTCAGTTACATGAGATCAATGCAAAGAAGTAATTCAAACCAAATCTAGTGAAATGACATTCGTTCTGCCAAGATTCATGTGGTCCATATCAACTCCGTAAGCTGAAATCTTAGATGTTTATTCCGAAATGTTTGAATACTTTACCTCTTACATTTCGAAACTGATAAAGTTTCAACAATACATAACTATCCTAACGCACAAACTTCGTGGAAGTGTCTTCCAATTAGATTAAGTTATTTTCCACCTTTGACACTCAAGGATTTTTTTCAAAAAAAAGCATTAAACCCAAATCACAGTAGAAATGGTACATGGAAAAATATCAAAAATATTTCCAAAATAAGAATACAGTATGCCGTAGAATAAAACAATGAAAAAATTGATTCATACAGAAAAGTTTGACCTGAAATATTATTCTCAAAATTGTCCTTAAAGAAAAGAAGTATACAATACAGCCTCTTATATGCAAGACCATTATTCATCTGTCTTGGTTAACAATTAAATAAATAAATAGTTTTGGTTTATTGAATCAAAGAAAACGTTATTAGTGTTCACCTGCACCCACTAGAAAACATAAATTAAAAAGGTGCAATGCAGATCAAAAGAGCAAGCTTCCCACTTGAAAAGTTCATTTTTTACAAACATTTTCAAGACCATCTGATTAGTTCAAGTAACAAATAAAATGCAAATGTTGTTTTTTCCAGAAAAGTTTGATTTCTGAGCATCTGGTGATCTTGTTCGTTTGTTGAATTTCGCGAAAAGTTAGAAGAGGGCTATCTGCACTAGCCTTCTATGTGATAGACTAGAGGGAAAGTAGCTAGTCAACACCACCCACCGCCAACTCTTGTGATACTCTTGTCATACTGAAAAGTAGAATTTGATCACCACTCTTTTAACGCACCCATGGCACCAATGTACGGAGTAAATTTGGTTTTTGTTAGTAAAGGATTGGGAACCGTTCAACTTCAGCTAACCATTGGATCGCGCTCATCCCGGCAATCTTTAGGAAATACAAGCAATAATAGGCTTAAAAAATAACACATTCAAACTAGTATTCAAGTGTTTTTCTTTAGTATTTTTATCTTTCTTATGAGGTATGTTTAATAAGCGAAAATAAATCAGTGTAAAATATTTAATTTAACTATTTAAGAGCCTTAGAAGCCAAACTGATACATAATAAAATACATGATGATATGTATAGCTATAAATTAAATTGGAGATAGTGAAAGCCACAGAAGATGAACAAGGCATAGTTGACTAAAGAAACACGGTTTTTAAGATAAGTAAGGAACGCGTTCTAAACTTCCACAATAAATAATACAATACAATAAAGTCCGACCATTGTCTGATTTGTATATATGATCTTCAAAACAAGACTACAAACAAAGCCCGAAACTTCAGTTTCTTAGTGCACAACAACAGCATGCGAACAACTCAGCAGAGATTAGACCTTGTGAAAGCTGACCGCTGTGTTGAAATGTTGGGGCGATTAGGACTTATACGATGTCAACCAGCATTCGATTTCTTGAACTGGTCTGGATCATCATCAGTTTATCATATATTACCTTGGATAAATGCCGAGAAAGCATAAATCATGCATCTGAAAATGTGTCCGGAATTCTTTTAAATACTATACTCCCAATGATAATGTAGGTTTTCAATAGAAATATGACGACTATCTCATCCTCAGTTTAAATCCCAAATTTTAGTCGCTTGCTAGATAACGTTGATTAACAATACCCCCCATTTGGACCTCAAACTATGCTAGCCAAGCACTTGAAAAGAATCCCCCACATTTCCCAGAAGATGCTGGAAGGTGTTTTGTTCAATTACAGCACGATGGTCTAGAGCTGGATAATAGATCATTTCAAGAAGGATGGCGAAAATTTCTATGAAACTCTTCCAACCAATTTCAGAAAATGTACACGCTTTGGCCTGCTGCATTACAGTCTTCAAAGAACCCTTGTTTTTCAGGGTATAAATGCAGTAATATAGCATATAGATGATTTCCAATAATATTCAGGTAAATTCTGAACGTTTTTTACTCTTTTAAAGAAATTAACGTTTCATGAAAACATTACTCTTACTGTTAAACTACCTCCAGCACCTTGCACGTCATATTTAATTCCTACAAAATTCAATAGGTGGTAGGACAACAAATAATCGAATTATTTTCAGGCGTGTAAATACCACAGGATGCTCCGATACCTTTTCACTGAAACCCCCACGATGATGTTTTTACTCTCAAAATCATAACACAATAGAAATATGAATATACAGATTTTTCATATTAGATTATTGACACGAAAATAACACGCTATTTACACAAAAGCACGTGTGGATAATCGTACCTGTGTTGCCGGGAAAGGATGTAATTTTGGTTTTTGTGAAATCACAAAGACTTAAAACTACAGAAGAGTATGTATCTCAGCTTAACACAACTTTAAAAACTCTGTTTTCTGACAACTATAAACATAACGACACGAGCTCGATGGATTTGGTAACTTCGATATAAAAACATAACAACAACAACAAAAAAAAACTGCAGACACCAGAAATGAAAATGTCCAATTAAAAGAAAATAGTTGTCTATGTTTGAAAAATGTGTACAATATGTTTATTGTTACGTCGTTTTATGTAGTCTAGGTTTGGACTTGTATGTTTTAAAGTATATTGACTTAATATTTAATCCACATGATGCTCGTTAAACCTACATTAGGCTAATTATACATCAATAAATGTAACAAAATATATAAGTTCCAAAAATGACACTATTCTTAAACACAAATCAACTTTATTTGGTAGTGTAATGAGAGAAGTAAACATAATTATGGTATATAAAAACGACATTTTAAAAACGTTTGAATTCAAATTTTAACTGTGAGACTACGTTGTTGTTCTGCCTGTAATGATCTCTATTGTCCAGAATAAGCAGCTGTTTTAACCACTTGCGCTTTGTGTATTGGAACATCAAACTAGCGAGGCGTACACTGTTAACAATGTATGTATATATATATATACTGTAGTATCTTAATTAGATATGGTTGTCAGAACACTATACATTTTGTGAAAGTAACATAGCCATAGAAAGTAATTGAATAAAAATCAAAGAGGCCAACATTCGCAATACAATATATATCCACCATGCAATCCCAACATAACCAATTTTAACACCAGAAAAATCGTGAATCAAAAACTGTCTACATCACTCCTTGGAACCTGCAAGGAGGTATCTTTGTACCAAATCCCAAGTACGTTGGTTGACCACATATGAATAGTTCAGGTAAACTCCTAATTGTGCTTTCCTCGCTGAAAAATTGAGCAAAAGACAAAAATTATAAAATTACAAAATTGTCTATCTCTCTATTTT